CTTCAAACTATCGCCAGTCATGAAAAGATCCGGTCAAATGACACGAGTTTAGATCTATGAACAAGGCACGAAATGGAAAAGAATCGGCGACAGGCCACATCAGGCCTACACTTCAGAGCCGACATCACTATGTTATGTTATGTAACCGTATCACCGCCCGACAGGATCGCATTACGAACCGAAGTTTTCCGGTAAAACCGGAAAGTTCCAGTAGCGGTTAGAGACTTGTGTTTTTTAGACGTCAGTGAGGATGGATGTATCCGAATTTGAGCTCTGGGCCATTGTTCGCGGCTGTGCTGCTGTTAAGAAAAGATGTAGGCGTCGCCGTATTTGGGTGAAAAATTGGTTGCAAAGAAGAGGGCTCACACAATTACATTTTCCAAGAATCATCAGTTGCGAATGCATCAGACTTTCAAAATTATTTCAGACCAGTGGAATATATTACAAATAATATTGTATAAATAAATTTATAATTTATAAATCATAATTATAAATAAATTTATAATTTATATTATATAAATAAATTATATTGCCAGTGAACTTGTTTGACAGTCTGCTAAAAAAATAATGCCACTAACCCAAAAGCAGTATGATGGAATTGAGATGGAATTCATATGCAATGGAATTCATTTGCAATGAAATTCATTAATCACGATGGAATTGCGAACGCAACATATGAATTTTCTTGCGAACCTCGTCAATGGTGACTTGTGCACGAAATCGACGAAAGTTTCTTAAAATTTCTACTATTTTCACCAGAGCTTGTTCTTTTGCATTTCGACTTTTATACTTCTTTGACTGAACTCTCTACAAGCATTCATGGTCTCTACAAAGATCAATTAGCCTCTCTACTAGAGAGTGAGTCCAAATAAATGTGGCGTTAGTTGACTCAGCGAAGGACCAACGAATACATACAACCTCGCTAGACCACAGACAGCTGTCTACAGTCTACTGAGTGCGACCTGCGGCGGCCGGCGCTTGTGGGCCCTGCGCCCTGTTAACCAAAGACTCTCCTCGTGTACGGTATAGGCTATCAGCCGGCAAAACTGGACTCGCACAGAGTACACGGAGCGAATACAAGCCCCGTGTATAAGCACATCTAACCAGATACTCTCCTCGTGTATAGGCTCTCAGCCGGCAAAACTGGACTCGCACCGAGTACTCGGAGTGAATACTAACCCAGTGTAAAGCATCTATACACCCGAGTAAACAGCAAGACTATTGTGACTACCTCAGCATTCTGTCTTCCTCACAATACATATGAAACTACCTAGTATTGCCAGTCGTCCACGGATTAAATAGTCAGTCGTCTGTGGATTCTACCGTCAAGCGTCAATCTTTTGTGATTCTACGGTCAGTCGTCTGCACTCCTTCGAAAAGCCTTGCCTTATTCCTCCAGAAATTTCACCACATTTTGGTTGATAAGTTAAGTATTGATACCTATATCTTTGTTTATTCATTTACATTCAATAAAAATTATTGTGATATCCGTCCATCACTACCCATCGATTCGACTGATGCCGTTCAGCCTCCCCCAATGACCTGACACCAACATCAACCAGCCACAACTCGAAGTACGCACGACTTGGTCACCCTGGCGGCTATATCAACCAAGCTTCTTTTCCGCCTGGTTCATGTGGTGTAAATTGTCCACCCAACACTATTGCTTATCCTCCATTCAGCACCATTGTCATCTGAATTAAAATTTTATCTTGTGACGACTCTGATCCCTCAATTTAATTTACGTGGGGCTATGTTGGTGACAAATTTTTAAATGGAAGAACTGCATAAATGCCGAGATGAGCTGAAACCTGCAGCGTAGCGGTGGTGCAAGTGAGCACAACGTAAATGCGGATTATTGCCATATCCGTAACGTTGAAATTAGAACTTCGCACTCATATCTTCGATATTTCTGCGTTAAGACCTCAATTTGTTCCAAACACCTGTGAAGTAACTGTGACAATTTCAGCTTTGTGGATTCAATCATGTTTGAATCAGGTAATTAACCATTGATTATCTTGAATGATATATTGATTTGGCGTTTTATAATTTTGTTAGATGAATCAGTTCAGCATCAATATTTTAAGCTATGTTCGTCAACGTATAACTAAGTTGCGAACGGGTAATTTGTAACTTTTCCCGTTGTTCTCAATACCCAAAATTGAAATTGCTCGTAAATGCTCGATTTACCCCCTTCAATCTGCTCACACTCTAAAACACACTTTCATAGGAAAATAAACAGTTCTAGAAATTCTGAGAGCAATTTGGGACAAGTTTGACCTCACTTACACGTTCCCATCAACATTCGAATTTACCCGGGCAACTGGACCATCACGATGAGAGGATGCCGGTGCATATGTCATTCAAGGTCATCGAACAGTGCACGATATGAGCGTGCAAATGTATACATTTTTCTTCGATGCTTTGATGAATTCAGATGCAATCACTATGGAATTGAATAACTTTTGGATAAATCAATCAAAATTCTAGAATCCAAGAATGCTTGTAAGGGATTTTAGACATGAGAGAAAAATTCTTTAGTTCTGATGGCAGATCCACGTTGGTTGATTTAGTAAAAAAAAACATAGGGCGTTCAATAGGCAGTGTATATTGGTTGAAGCGTGTTGCATATAACGGCACACAGCAATTTTTGCTTTAAAAATAAAATTGCATGGCTAAATGTAACGGAAATTTCTCATTATGTGGACCAGTTGTCGTACGTTTTTTTATCCATTGATAGCCGGTACCCGGGGGTCTGGCAGGCACTATACCTAATCTCTCGCGGTCAGCAACTGCTCCAGTGCTGCGGTGAAGGACAGTGTGGGTGACAGCTTGTCGTTCTGTTTAGAAATTTTGCTAAAACATATCAAATTATGACTTCATATCACAAACCCAGCAATGGCACTCTACAGGAGCTTAAGGACATGGCAAATAAGCTCAGAATACATTCGGTTACGAGCACCGCAGCCAGCAATTCGGGGTGAGGATGTTGGTTGAGCCGCTTGATTAGTTGTTGATAGTGATAGAGAACCTCTCTGTCTCTGTTACTCTGTATACCGTATACTCAGTATAGTATGCTGGGACTAGAATCACTCGATAAATAAAAGTTTTTAGATTAAATATCGTGATCGGGGTAACGAAATACCTGGGAATTGGGAAATGTCTTGAAAATCTCACTGACATATCCAGTTGATTTTTTGTCATACGATAATTATAACGTTGATATTATGATTGAGATTTGAGTCATGTCATGAGACTGAGAGCTCCATGCGGACGCTGCAATGATGCAGATTTGCATTGTGTTTAACTCTGAGCTGTCAAACGTTGTGCCAAGGCGTACGTGGAAGCTTTCATGTCTACTTGAAATAAAATATGAATAAAGGAAATAACAATTTATTCTATTGTACTATGATATTTCTATTGATGTATTATCATTGCTATTTTTATCCCGCTTAGCGTTGAGCAACATCTTTAATATACTCATCTGAACACAAAATTTGACTATAGTCCCGTTATCGTTGGTTATGAAGCGTCTTTCTTTGGCTGCTTGGCCCCGTATAAAGTATGTTAATTTTAGCTTTAATTCAATAAGAATTTGCGCAGCTTGTACTGTGGGTACAGTGGGTGTAGCTATTTAACGTGTCTGGCGTTCTCACTTCTCAATTTGAAAGTTTTATTTAGTTGAATTATTTTACTTTAAGTTTAACAATTTGTATAAGTTACGTGAAGACATGGGAACTTGTTTTGCAAACCGAAAAGAGTAGGGATGTGTTAGTTCATTATCGTTGAGATGCCAAATCATCACAAATGCGTTTGCTGTGCGTTGTTACTGATGCACAGTTTATATTTATATTATGTATTCCGAGATTGTGTACGTTATTTCTGAAGTTCTGAACATGTTCTTCCAACTTTACGTTTTTTCTCCTCATCGTAATTTCGACATAACTTCTGAATGAAGCATCGTATCTGTTTCAAGTTTTTTGCTAAAGCTTCATCACATTAAAAGCTACACGACGATGGGTGGCACACGTCACAGCGCCTCCTGAAGCGGCCGCAATTTGTTTAATAATGTTTTACTTAATTTTTTACGCTCGAACTTCACCAGCCTGTAGTTCGTTCCTGTACTGCTGTAGAGTGTAGTAATTCACGCCTCAGGGTTGACGATATAAAAAATTATTGAAGCTTCTAGAATAAAGTTTTCATGGAATGCGTATCACATATATTTTTGATGCTTATGGCTGCATGTATTTCTATTTTCTTCCTGATCCTGAACGAACAACACAAATTCCCAGTGATATGGCAGTAAAATAAAGAGACACCTAACCTAAAATTCTGTCTATCCAGACTGTCTAATTGCCCAGCTTCACGTTTTTTGTGTGTGTGTATAAATGAACTTACTCCAAGCAGTGAGGCGGAATTAAAAGACACAATTAGCTCATTAACACTTTACTAATACCGGTAATAGCTTTCTCGATCGCCGATTGCATTAAATTCCTTTCTATAATAACAGCTTCCGTAATCTACGATTGTATGAAGTCTTTTCCAAATAATAGTTTCGTCGATTTTATTGGGTCGTTTCCAATAATACTCATAAGTCATAACCGTATACTTCTCACTTCATGATACGCCTGTGTGGCATCACCATGCTTATCTTGTTGGAGAAGATAGCGCGTATCTGCGTATGCTACACACTGAACGAATTTTAATGCAACCGGCGTCAACCACATATGTGTCTATAACATATTGGCTATAAGTTCAATGGCAGTGCAAGCATCGCCAACGACAAATGTGCTCGATCGTAGTTGTGGTTATATTTATGTTAGCACTGCAGAACGAATGGAGTGAAGCAGCTTGACGTCTCCTCAAACTTTGTTCTTCAATGCTCCAATTGCAGATATACGTGCTTTCGCTTGGAGTTGCACATCACTTCGATAGCAATAATTTTTAATACCATCTATCTACAATTTTTTCTACATTTCAGGGGAGAAATACATTAAACAACATCGTGGTTTCAAACAGTAACCGGTTTTTACTCATTCCCGAAAACTCTTTACGGAAATTTTTTGTTTGTAATGAAGACACGATCTAAACGGCATCATCATATTCTTATCCAGCGTTATTGAGAATTCAATTTTTTGTCAAATCTATCCGTATCTTTATGCATGAAACACCGAAAGCACCTTAGTTATTATTCAAGGCCTAGTGAGTTGTTCACTGATTTAAGAAGCTAATGTGGGTTAACAGATAGTATTTATTGCATTTTTACTTACGGAATTCGGCTTAGGGACTGCTTGCGGCTCGCACAAAAACCACTAGCTGACCGCAGTTCTTGAGTTTCTGACTCCGACCTACCATTCTAGTGTGACTAACCTATTGAACGGAGGACGTCTGTTGTTATTCGTTACTAAAATTTTTATTTTAAAGCTTGAAGCGTTCTTCTTACCAATCTTGCACTCTTCTTACCAATCTTCTTACCAAATACCAATCAGTAGCGCCAACGCAATGCCTTTACAACTGCTCAATTTTTATACATAACTACAAATTCTGCAAATGCCCTTCTTAATTAGAGGCAACTATTTTTACACACATAATGTAATAATTAAGGACAAGATTTTACCCTGTAAAATTGTTTTCTTTATTTAATATGGTCGTTTGCCACGTACTTAGGTAACATTTTTGTGCTAGGGGCGTTATTTAAATTTTATAAAAATATATTATCACATTGTTTTTTATTACCTTTTAAAATATTCCAATTTCTTTTATTTCTGTTATCTTTTCTAGTTAGATATAAGGACTAAATTTGTCAATTTGTTAGGAAGTCAAGACAAAGTGTTTTCCATCAGCTGTTCCAACCTGAGAAGGCTGCGCAATGGCTGCGCATATGAGCCAGCGGCTGCGGCACCGTCACGTCTGCGCTGCGCGGCGCGCGCTAGTTGCATTTCACGTTTCGTAGAGTCAGTACGTGTTGCTCTCTATCTGCCTGATCGATAAGTGTTTGCCGGTGTCTTTCCTTATTTGAACGATCTAAAATGGCGTGCAATCGTGAAGAACTGGAAGATATGGCTAATAAGTTGAGGATATGGTCCATCAAAGCTACAAATGCTTCCAACTCGGGGTACGTTGTTCATGGTATTTATTAATCGTTATGCACTTATGCTTGAACGTGACGGTCTTGTTGCTGGTTTCTCTCCTTGACTTTCATGAAATTACTTTAACCTTGACGAATATGAAGGTCACCATTTTCTTCACTCATATTGTATATCAGAATTATTATTATAATGCATCATACACCTTTTCTATCGACTTGTTAACTCTCCTCTGAAATGCTCTGATTGCCTTTCTGTCACAATCGCCCGCTAGAATACGAAAGCAGACGTAAGTTCGGCAACAGCCTTACTGCTGGTGGAATTGAGGTCGGGTAATGAAAAGTGCTATGACAATATTGGGGGTACAAATCCTATACAATTATTTTCTTTAAAATGTAACTGATTTTGGAACTGGTCTATTTTCTAGACTGGATCATTCCTGAGTATATGAGCCATAATTTCACCTTTCAGCTTACAGGCTGGGCGGCGCTGCGGCGGGCGAAATGCAGCCAGCTTTTGGGGTTGGCGTGATTTCGCACTATTTATCCAAACGTGCCCGTAGATAAATTTATCGTCACCTTGATGATAAATTTCCGAATGTTTTTGAAATCGTATGGCAAATATGTCGCTTGTATTTTCTAAAGGGTCATCTGGAGGTACCTGCGTATGCTAGTAACGGCCTAACGGGTGACCATTGTAGGCCTGGCAGCAGGAGTTACTAACTCAACAGAGTGAACAGAATGTTAGGCTTAAACGTCGGCCGTGGTTAGTGCGTGTTCGATTTACCAGAGAAAGATTCAAGTTCAAATCAGGAGTTAGTTTATTAAAATTTTGCAAAGAAATCTTTACTATGTTCTCAGTCTCTCTCAGTTTAGTTTATTGTTGGCACACGGTCCGATTGGTATTTGGTTGTACTGCTCCATGCGTCTGATCATCGGTCCCGGTGCAAAAGTCATAAAGACGTCGATCCTTAATTAATGAAATTCATCGTAGTTTTAGGTATCCTCGCTTAAGTTAATTCATATCAAATGATTCCCTTCATTCATTCTATGAATGTAGCGGGATTAACATTCATTTTGAATAGGAAATATATTCCTTGGCTTAATATTTTCTGATCAATTTTCTTAACTTGATCATATGTGTTGCATTTACAAAGCACAGCGAGTGATGCGCTCTGACAGCAGCTCTGACTTTGGGTGTAGTTTTTTTCGTTTTTTTAATCGTCGAAAAATACAATAAATTGAGCTTTCATATATTCTTCCCGGCCAACGCAATATTAAAAGGCCCACTGCATTGGGCCTCTTTTCATCTAATTTGGCCAACAAGGCTAATCTGGCAAAACTTGTTTGGTTAGTAGCAGGTGTTTGTACCTGCGCGTCAGCCGGCAGGTGTGGGTTACCTTAACAATGCTTGTGCCGCTCTTCTTGTATCTTCTTCCTTCTTGATCATCAAGTTGGACCTCACATACGTCAATATTTTTCTGTTTTGTTTGACATGAAATTACAACGATGAGTTACTTTTTAAGAGGGATTTTAGTGAAAACAGCGCCATATATATCGGAAATTGAAACATTATCAATTCATTTTTTATTGAGATCTCTACTTCTGTATCGGGAACGATAGGTTGATCGCTCACAAATGGCAGCGATTTAATGGTACGATAGGTTGGTCGCTCGCAAATGCCAGTGATTTTATAGTCTAGCTCCAAATGATACCGTGTCGTAACCGACTACCGTATCGCGCTCAGCAACTGCAGTCATTGTTGCCTTGCTAGCCGACTAATGCGCTGTGGTAACATCGTTGCAAGACTTCCATTGCTTCTTTCGGTGTCATTGACATCCAGCTCATTGTGAGGTAAAGAATTAATACCGTAGTGTCGCATCATTTTTGATGTCGCTCTTGATCTGGCTTATAACTGTGGCTGGTGGCGGACAATAGATGTGGTAGATCAATAAGACAACCTTATTCTGACTGGTATTGTACTCTCATCCGACTAAGTTGTTTTAAACATATAATTTTTCGATCACTAACGGTAGTGAAAATAACAGTTGAAGCATGTACGCGACATCAAGGTTACGATTCGCTCTTCCCTAGCTCATTAATTTCACTCGTTACATATAACTATATTTGTGTATTTTTCAGTCATCCGACATCATGCGCCTCGATGGCAGAGCTGATGAGCGTGCTCTTCTTCCACACGATGCGCTACAGCGTCAAGGAGCCGCGTGCCGCCAACGCCGACCGCTTCATTCTCTCCAAGGGACACGCGGCGCCCATCCTTTACGCTGGTCTGATATCATGCGACACATATTTTCTAGAATTCTTGTTGAAAAACAGAACTTGGTGATGAAGTAGCATCTGAGAAACTCTAGACGCAGCTATGACGCTTACCTTCTGTCATGTCAAGCAGATTATTGATCAGCTATTTTTCCTGTTTACGACTCAACATGTGTTCAGAGGCACTTGAAGTCATACGTCCCGTTGGGAATCTGATATGAAATTCCAATTTCGACCGAACGTCGTTTCAAAGAATTTTGTTATGAATCTCCTTAAAATAGTATGATGTTAAAATGGCGTAAAATGGCCAACGAAATTTTATTCATGTGTTACAATCGTAGATCTTGCTGTCATAATTCCTTGAATAGTATTGCACGCATATTGCAATTGCAGCTTCGTTATAGAACAAATACCAAGGAGCTATTTAAAATGTATGTACTTTTGTCGTATGCTTCCAAGGAATGATATCAACAATTTGAATAATGCTTTGCCCCCGACTCGTTTAGCTTGGGCGGAGGCGGGTCTGTTCGATACATCCGAGCTGCTGAACTTGCGTAAGATCGACAACGACCTGGAAGGCCACCCGACCCCTCGCCTCAACTTCATCGATGTGGCCACGGGGTCTCTGGGACAAGGACTGTCCGTCGCGGCAGGCATGGCTTACGTGGGAAAATACTACGACAAATCCAGCTACAAGTGAGGCGTAGTGTTTGGACATTCGATAGTTGGAAGGTAACTGGTCATATTTCTTTGTATCTTGAATCTAATTTATGTAGAAAAGACCATAAGATAGATTCCGCTCCTTGTCAAGCAAAGCTACTAATATCAATAAAAAAATTAACCCCAGCTGTACTGCAATATGGGTCCATACATTTCATGAGCTAAAAACCTTGAACTTTAATGCTTAATACTTTTCAGAACGTACTGTTTGATCGGTGATGGTGAGAGCGCTGAAGGTTCCATTTGGGAAGCGCTAAGTTTCGCTGGCATCAAAAAGCTGAATAACTTGTGTGCCATTTTTGATATCAATCGCTTGGGGCAGTCGGAGCCCACTGCATTCCAGCACCAAATGGACGTGTACAAGGCGCGCCTCGAGAGCTATGGTTTCAACGCCTTGGTCGTCGATGGCCACGACGTGGAGGCTTTGTGCAAGGTGTGTGACAGGTGCTATATTGCACCTAGTGCAGTGTTGCTGTGACTTGTGGTGCAGTGTTGCTGTGACATGTGGTGCAGTGTTGCTGTGACATGTGGTGCAGTGTTGCTGTGATTAGTGGTGCAGTCTAGCTATGATATAACCTCCACTTCCGAGGAATACACTTGCAGTATGTGTTAAAATGTTTCAAAAATAATCTGTTCCTGTTACAACGAAGGTTTAAATGTTTCTATTTACTTGTTGGCTTAAAATGACCTTCGTCTGAAGATTAATGGTTATTGTAAACATGCAGGCCTTCCACGAGGTGCTCGTCTCCGACAAGCCTACTGCGATCTTGGCGAAGACGTACAAAGGCCGCGGCTTCCCAGGTATCGAGGACCTGGACGATTGGCACGGCAAGCCCTTGGGCGCCAAGAGCGAAGAAGTGATCACTGCGTTGGAGGCCCGCATCAAGAACAACGGCCCTCACACTCTCAAGATCCAAAAGCCCGTCGATGACGCTCCCGAAGTCGATATCTCCAACGTCACCCTCAGCCGCCCTCCTAGTTATGAGATTGGTACGGTGACGTTGTTTCTTGAAGATCATTGGTAGGCACTTCGCACGAGCTACTATGCACGATAATTTTCATGCCATATTTGTTGGAGAGTATGAAGTTTTGATGCTTCACTTATTTTTCGTGTTCTCTCGAAGTTGGAGGCTCTACTGGTGCATTTTGTTGATAAGATCTTTATCACCAGCCGATTAGCTCTCTTTCTTTGTATTAAAAGTTAAGATGATTTTTACGGGTCATTGATCTCAATTGACTATTGTTGGTGCCTTTGGTAAATGTTTTTTTTTTCTGATAAGAATCCCCCCTTTTATTGTAAACTACTCGCATTTTCTTTCATTATACCGTTGGCTGGATCATAGCTCAACTGTTCAACGCATCATTTGAGGTTCTAATGTCACTAACCTGTGTGAATTGTTCTATAGTATAGAACCAACCGCATAATTTTAGTAAACTAGTTTGGTTCGTAATCGCACTAGTGATTATCTAGGCAGATACATCTCCCTATAGCTATCGCAATGAGATTCACAAAGTGAATTTATCTTTTCATTCAACTTGTTTCCTAAAAACTCTACGAAACGTTTGATTACTAACTTAGCAAAAATTCTGACGATCTCTTGATACTAATAAATTTATAGTTTTCTCAACATAGGCATGAGCCTAAACGCCCTGAGTATGACTGCCATTAATGGTCAGCGCCATTTTTAATCCTAGGCCAGAAGGTAGCCACACGTGCAGCGTACGGCACGGCACTGTCCAAGATCGCCGAGTCTTGTCCGCGTGTCATCGCTCTCGACGGTGACACCAAGAACTCCACCTTCTCTAATGCCATGCTCAAGACGGACAAAGACAGGTCAGGATATGAGCACAGCTAACTTATATTCCATGCTTTAGATATTTTATTTCTGTCAACCTTTATGAAACCTCAGCAAGATTTAATCATTTTGGTATTGACTTCCCAATTTAACAATTTTGTTGATCTATGGCTTGGTACGACCGCCGCCATATGAACTATCAATTCAAGCCAAAATTTCGAGAGATTACTTGATGATAAATTATGCCAAATAAGTTCTCTTATTAGCCAGTCTATTCAACTGTATACGTGAAGCCGTAAACTTGAAATGAAATTAAAGTTAATTTTAAACTTATATCCATGATTTTACAGATACATTGAGTGCTTCATCGCGGAGCAGAACCTGGTGGGTGTGAGCATCGGCGTCGCGTGTCGTGACAGAGCCGTGGTTTTCTGCTCCACCTTCGCCGCCTTCTTCACCCGCGCCTTCGACCAGCTCAGGATGGGGGCCATCTCGCAGGTCGGGCGCTAAAAAGTTGACGTTCACTGATGCATTTCAACTCCAAAATGTAGTTTAGTTGGCACAAGATTCGTTAGACCATTGCAAGATTCGTTAGACCATTGCAAGATTCGTTAGACCATTGCAAGATTCGTTAGACCATTGCAAGATTCGTTAGACACGTCGCGCAAGATTCGTTAGACCGTCGCGCAAGATTCGTTAGACCGTCGCGCAAGATTCGTTAGACCGTCGCGCAAGATTCGTTAGACCGTCGCGCAAGATTCGTTAGACCGTCCCGCAAGATTCGTTAGACCGTCGCGCAAGATTCGTTAGACCGTCGCGCAAGATTCGTTAGACCGTCGCGCAAGATTCGTTAGACCGTCGCAAGATAACATATAAATTGTTATATAAATATAAAAATATATATTAAAATATAGATTTTAATAAATCATTGATTCAATTGTAAATGCAACTTGATATTTCAGTTGAATTTTTGACGGAACTAATTAGTTTTATCTGGAACTGCTTTGCAGCAAATCCTTTTGCTATGAAAACTAGTTTAAATTTTCGTTAAAACAATGCAACGGCTACTTTTGCTTAGAATATTTTTTTATCCCTAAGTCAGATGGGCGAGCAAAAATATGAGCCACCTCATAATCGATAGCTTCTGAATCTGAAAGTGGAGCGTTAGTTCTTGCAAATTCAACTTTGCTGCCTCGGTTCGCTGACGGAAAAAGCTATCACTAACGTCCCATGGCAGTTAAGATATGTAGCACGTCACAACAAAGTGCAATGGCGTTCTAAAGCTACGTCAGTATTCAAATTCTTTGTTACCGTCAATAATTCTTAACTCGTTAGGTAACGGGAAGTTTTTAAAAAATATTTGGAGCTAGTATTACCGTATAAAACAATACTGAGTTTGAGAACAGAATGTCTGAATCACTTCTTGCTGCCGAGTTTAGTAATTTTACGTCATTCCACTCTGCGATAGTTATTTCCCAGTATTTATTTTTCTAATTGAGTTGTATGCTTGTCATTATAGCTATGAAAAAACAATCCCATCACCTGCCTCCTGGAGATTCCTTTATTGCTAAATGTTTCTATTTTACAGACGAACATAAACTGCGTTGGGTCTCACGCCGGCATTAGTATTGGAGAAGATGGTCCATCTCAGATGGCCTTGGAGGACATAGCGATGTTCCGTGCCATCCCCACGGCGACAGTCTTCTACCCTTCTGACGCAGTCTCCACCGAGCGCGCCATCGAGCTCGCCGCCAACACTAAAGGCATCTGCTTTGTGCGCACCTCGCGCCCTGCCACCTCGGTCGTCTACCCTAACGACAAGAAATTCGCGGTCAGTTTCGCGGAAATAATTGCGAACTTATTTTTTGGTTCTTGACTCAGTTTTCTGAGCTTTTGGTTCTTGCCGATCTGAATTGGTAAATACGAACGTATTTTCCGGTTCTTGGCTCGGTTTCCGTGCAGTTGACCGATTGATAAGAATTTAAGTTGAGATTCGAAATGTACCTACGTTAAAACCACTATTACCACTTGAATGTTGAGCGGCAGACGTTACGTTAGATAGAACTTTCTTTTGATTTTCCAAGTTTAGGATTACGAACAAATTTTTAACATGTTGACCTCTAGCTCTGCTGGAGGCAGTTTACTGGCAATTTGATTTAGTAACATTTGGTAACTTTTGATCCCAACTTGCGAGCACATATTCCGTCAACTGGATTCTTTTCTTAATCATTCCTCTTTTGCCTATGTTCATGTTTTTTACATCCATGCTTTCAACAATACAAATATTGTTCAGCTAAACCATAATGCTTTCTAGGCTGTATTGACAAAATCGGGTCATTGGACTAGGCCCCGATACTTACCGCAGATAGTGCTACACTCCAAGCTTAAACGCTGATATGACATCTCGTCCATATTTACATAGCAATAATGGTACACGACACAATAAAAACTGCTCCTCCAAAACGATAGAACACGAATTTTTCAAGCCTCATTTAGTACCTTTTTATTTGCCACAGGTGGGCAAGGCGAACATCATTCTGCAAAGTGCCGATGACGTAGCGCTGGTTATTGGTGCAGGCATCACGCTCGAGGAAGCCCGCAAGGCTGCTGAGATTCTCGCACAGAAAGGCTCGCCCGTGCGCATCATGGATCCCTTCACCATCAAGCCTCTGGATGAGGATGCCGTCCGGGAGCACGCGAAGCAGTGCGGTGGTCGTATAGTGGTTGTGGAGGACCATTATCCTGAAGGTTAGTAAATGATCCATTCAACCTTACAGTGGTTGCGTGCTAAAAACAGACCAGATTAGATTAGTTGTGGTTGCGGTCGGTTTCGTTGCGGTCGATTTTCGTACGGTCGGATTACATGTGTATTACACTGCAGGGTCAAGTATATGATTCTCGACAACGTTCTGGCCCTGACTCGCATATAGTTGAATGTTCGTTTCGTAGCCTTAGTTTTATGAACGGTGCATAAATTTCGGGAGATCATAGTTTCATTGTAGCATTTGTATAAATATGCTTATTTAAGATAGGCCATCACAATTCTCGAAAAAAAATATTGAAGTAATTACATGAAGATGTGATTCACAATTTAATTTTATTTGATCGAGAATTGAACATAACGTCAAATTGTCAAATTGTATAAATCACGAAATTTAGACCCTAAAAGCCACACCTACCGCAAACGGATAACAATTCTAATCGAATTCTGGATTTTCAATTCTATTTGTCAACATTATAACCCCAAAATTAAAGCTAAGCAACAAATAACTAAACTTGGTCGTCAAATAGTGTGCACACCTGTAAGATTGGTTTTAGCAAAATTTTTCGCCCAATCATTTTCCATTAGCCACACATTGGATTGAAAATTTAATTTCGTTATTGAACTGTCCAGGAAATTAGTCTCAGAATGAAAATTGACCATGGTTTCAGAACAATTTTGAGATACCTGCCGCATATTGATTTGGTTAGGACTTGGGACACTAAAATCGAGCTACTCTACCGAGATCTAACTTACTACCTTCATATTTGACAAGATTAAATGTTGGCGAAGCAGTATTTTTCTCAAATTGTGTTGCCATTACCTGTAATACAATTGTTTATCTTAGGTGGTTTGGGTGACGCTGTGAAGTCAGCCGTGAGCGGCGAGCGCGACATCGTCGTGAAGCACCTGGCAGTGAGAGCCGTGCCTCGCTCGGGCAAATGCGACGAGCTCCTCGAAATGTTCGGCATCAACGCTGCGAGCATCGTCCAGGCTGTCGAAGAAGTCATGCTCGTGTAATGATGTTCCTTATATCGAAGCTTCCGTTGCCCGATGCCTTGTTTGGGACATACATGCGAAAGATGATGCGGAGTTTGCAACCACCGTTCGATGTTAGTTACTGTCAGAGAATGCTTAGTAGGAGTGGCGTATTGAGTGGAAATGTCGGAACGGTCGTGCATGAAACCTCGAGAGTTGGACGATTGGTCATTGTTCTGTGAATGTTCTAGCGTTTAATGTGTTGATGCCCAATTCGAGCCCGGGCACAGCTTAGTTAGTAAAGATGACCTGCCTTTCAGTTTTATTATCGTGCCTAACTGCTAAAAGTTTCGTATGCATAGTGTCACTGTATTGTTCATAGAAACCAGCTCCAAGGTCCAACGATGCGCTTTGCTTATACGTAGCTGTGGAAGAATGGGCTCGAATTAGTTGTCTTTCCATACCATAGCATTAGAAACTAGCCTCTGTTTATGATTATCGCTTACTGACGCATATTCTGCACTTGTGTGAAGTCGTTGAGAAACCTCCTGAATTTCTTCGTTCACGTGTAGCAAGTTGACGTGCTTAGGGTTTCTGAGAAAATTCGCTTCTCCGCAAATCTTAGGTCTTCAGTTTTGCAAGAGGATTAATTTTTTTCCTGGACTGTTCTTCTCACGAGGGCGTGAAGTTAAGGTAAAATAGTGTCGTTGCCCCCTCAACATGTACGCTTTGCACGATTGCTGTTGAGTCAGACATTCTACAGTAAACGAAGCATTCCATTCTACGTCTTCAATTTTCAGTCCATGTTAAGATTTATTGAACAGTTCCTGTATTTTCTTAGTTTAACTCTTAAGGTTACCAGACATTTCCAGGCGTCTTTCACGATAGTTGACATTCCGGATAGCGCCTGTCAAATTAATTTTGATATTACAATGGGATGAAAATGAGTTTAAGACGTTAGTTTGAAAATGAGGTGAATTAGTTGGTTCTCTTGTTGACAAGTCTTCAGCCCTAATACTGACTGGTGTTACTTCTGGGGTTACTTCTTTAGTCGTCGCTCGATAATAAAGATAATTTTTGAAGTTTACTTCTCTACTTATTTAAGTTGGCTTCTGATTTATTCCATTTTTTGAAGAAAATAAAGTATATGAATTCATAACGTAGTTTCGTTAATATATTTCCCTCTTCGTAAGGATGCATCTCAAGAAGGAACAAAAATTGTAGATCTAACATCGCATGTCACTCTTAATAAAACGCTGCGCATGGTAAGAAAGAACATGATTGATCAAATATCTTGGTTATTTGACCTCGCTTTGATAGTTCCGACTATTAAGAGTCAGTATCGCGGTGTGAGAAGGCTCTGATCCGAATCGCATTGGCAGTAGTGCTAAAGGAAGCAAATTGATTTTCCTGCGCTTAAGCGAAAATTTTGAACTCTTAACTTCTTATAGACAGTGAAGTCAGACTTAGTTTCGTCACCAGTTGATGCCAATTCCAGAATTTGTTGATGCCAATTCCAAACTATAATACTAAGAACAAAAATACTGTAGTGAGGCCACTTATAAATTTCGATTTAGTTTATGGTGTAGCGGAAGCACCAACTGACAACGCAATCATATTTTCAGTTACGACCATAAATTTCAAGTTTTAGAGCTAAGGTGTTGGGAATCTGTATCGCCGAGTCGAAAAGCGGAAAAAATATTGCTGAAACAAATCTCTAGCTAGTGAGTCATGAATAGCGTCTCCGAGACGCACTTCTCACTGCGTCGCGTATGAGCTTCCCTCGGTATAAGCATTGCAGAAAGAATGTCGAAAATTTGTGACCGCGAACTTGTGCCGCAGGCAAGCGGCTCGACTCAGCAGCCACTATATTATCCTGTCCTGTATCGTCGCGCACTCGCACCTCAGTAGCGCGCCATGCTGCGATGAATGTGGTTATTGTGAGCGTGCTCCATCTCTTTTGTGTTGGCACGTGTTGCCTTGTGTCTTGTATATCTGGTGTCATTCCTTGCTTTCTTTATATAATATAGGAGTCATACCGCCTTGGCCCAGTATGTAAATGTAGAAAATTTTTACCGGCAATTTTGATCTGTTAACAAAGAATTGGGTAATGAATAGAAGCTGATGTTCAATGAGGTTAAAAAGTTGAAATTTAGGTATGGCATGGGAGAAAATTCAATTTAACAACTTATACGCGTTCGAGGCAAGAGTGTAACTGTTGACAGTAAGTTGGATTATCCAGTTTTGGAATGCAAAATAACACTGCATTTGCTTAACCCTTTAACTGTAAATTATAGTGTGAAGTACATATACTGTACTTTACTGTATTCGTATGTACAGTAAATGTCATGTTATTTGCAGTAATGCCAGTAAAATTACAATTTCGTGCAGAACTAAATTGCAGGCCATTTTTAATATGGGGTTGATTGGCATTAACGCCATCATTAACTATCGCAACAGTTAGAAAGTTTTGGTAAGAATCAAGTTCAGATTTTCATCAGATTTTTTTCGGTGTGTTCTCGCTGCCTCATCAGATGAGTGGGCGATGCTTCTTCATGAGTCTGGTTTTACCATTGATTGTATTATTTATATTATAGAAAAATTAGGAAGCTAAAATATATTTTTAAAAATAGCTTCTACATTTATCTTCCGGAGCAAACATTTTCAATTCACTGTCTCACGTATGTTATTGTTATTGTCAAGAACACGGGTGTAGTTATATCGCATTATTCTTCATTAAAATCCAAATTTTGTAGTCTAAAACGACATCTGTATTTTCTTAGTTCAAATGTTGTAGAAACTTACTTTTTTGTTGGTTTTGTCCGTAGCTCGTGACATCGTCAAGTCAAATCACCCTGGCGTGTATCAAAATCCAGTCATGTTATGGTATAATTCTATGTCTCGGGAGTAGAGAGAATAATTGCGTTGCGGCGTACTTAAGGTCGATCGGGTGTCAAGCTCCGCGTGTTCATGCACCTTTATCCGTGGCTCACAGTTTGTCAGCTGCTCTAATTAACGATGATGAGAAACGACATATTGTCCATATCTTCATTGCTTGCATGTTTTCAATGAAAATATAGTGATCACACATGACGTTTTCTTTGCTTTTAAGTCCTTGGTGAACGTACGGAAACGAATGATTTAAGTACGAACGATTTAAGCAGACGAATGATTTAAGTACGGAGTATTGTTTGACTGAAGTATACCGTAATTCGTACATTTTTCTCGCATATTTCTTAACCATAAAACAAAGTTTTCGGCGTCGCGTGACTTGTTGAACAGATTAGATCTTTGTTGCGGGACCGCAAGTCCGTAAGCTTATCATAAATATTAAATAATACTACTTGTGAGGCTATGATCTCTGACCTAATATTAATTCAATATGATTTGTATGTAACATGCTGCTGTAAATTTGTCCTAAACCGATGAATTTTCATTATGATGTTCATCCAGGTAACGTTTCTAACGCATCTCACCTGTTTCACCCGGAAAGCTCTTCGTTTGGAGTGTAACTTTTACAAATCGCTTCAAAATTCGAGCACAGATATCTAGTTTGGTACAGCGAATCACTGACGTATGTATTTTTAAGTTCAGCTTCGTCTTAGGACGCTGTAGAATGAAAGAAACTGGCATGTGTGTGATTCTGGCTAAATTACAAGACAAAACTTGCAGCAAATAATCATTTAATGTGTGGTTAGGTTTTATCAATATGGGTTAAACCAGTGGTTCCCAAACTTTTTCGGGCTAGCGCACCCTTTGGCTCCCTATTGAATTTCTAGCGCCCCCCACAGAAACATATACATATAAAATCATGCGCCTCTTACCATAAAATTTAGTTCGCTGCAATTTTAAAAGATAAAGGTTAAACACAAATGTCTATTTCATAAATAGGACCCCTTTTAGTGAACCAATGTGTTTTTCAGCTGTTTTAACTGTTTCAGCACTAGAAACCTAGGACGTCTCGGGCAAATTTACGGCCGGACTCGTGGCCGGTCTCACGACCAATCTCCAAATTCAGTTATCAAGGAATATCTCCCAAACTAATGAACGCAGCTCAATAAAACTCGGAACATGTATTCATCAGAACTTTACGGTGACGTTTAGCTTGCGAAATTTTTTTAAATATCACCTTCATTCGTGAGTTATATTGCGATACCGGCCGAAATTCGCAGTGATCAAAGAATTTCTTCCAAACTACCGAACAGATTTGAACGAAATTTTGAATATATGTTCCTAACTACCAAATGGTGTTTTTTTAGATAAAAAAAGTACCTATTTTACCGTCGTTTGCGAGATTTTTTTCATTTTACCGTCACTCTTGATTTCACACATCCTTATTCGCTTTCGTTCGCAAGTTATACAGATATAGATCGTCAAACAAACGTTCGAACTTCTGACTTCGACTTTGGACTGCCGCCCCCCTATCGCTCCCCAAACGCCATCTTATTCTTTATCGCCCCCCAAAATCTTTCCATCGCCCCTAGGGGGGGCGATATCGCCCACTTTGGGAACCACTGGGTTAAACTAATGCTGCTACTGTATCTTATATTGGTCTGAACTTGTATAAAAACTCGGTTTTAATTGCCTGCTTTTCAACGGATGCATGCATCAAGTCTTGACCACGAGATTTTATTCATTTTGATAAAGTGCCATTTCTGTAGATTTGAAAGCTTCTTAACAGCATCCTATTCAAGGCAATGCCTATTGTTCCAGTTTAGTCATGCTAACAATTCAGTGATTAAAATACAGTGTAATTCAATTTAAAAACGCTTTTCTCAATAGTTAAAAATATATCCAGTATAAGGCACCAATAAATAAGAATTTCGATCATATAACATAGTAATCTACCGTGATAATTTATTGCCACATGAAATATTATCTATTGATTGGGCTGCCATTTGGCCTTATTCGATTGCTGTAATATGCATTCATCAATCAGGACGACAAGATATTTATTGTGAAATTCCTAGGAATTTAAAAGCAAAAACAATACCACAAAAATTCACCATATCTTTATAAGAGAAAACGTTTCGGAGTCCAGCTCCATCGTCAGTTCACAAAAACGTACAGCAGAATGAGGTGGATGTGCAAGTAGGTTCCCCGTCCTATAACTCCTGCCCTTATGCTCAGCCAACCTAGTATAGAAATTGCGTGACGTCATACCGACGTACGCTGATGCGCACTGCGCACAACTATATCTGTAAACTAGTGACGATCGCATAAGAACAGGTAGGGAATCCTTAAACCTGAAAAACGAGCTGATTCTAAAAAAAAAATTCCTACTTGTACCGGTGTGGGCTCATGACTCATTATAATGTGATCTGAACAAATTGTGCTTGAGTTAGCGATGTGCTCAACATAACATAAGAAAATGATAAAAAAACTAATTTCACTAACCGCAGATTTTTATTCTATTCTTGCAATAAAAATTTATCCTGTCTGTGGAATCAGTTCGTTCTTTACGTCATTTAGTGGTCAAAAAGAATGCACGCCTAAAAATTGAATAATATCTATCATACACTGACTATATTCATGGTAGGTACGCAAGAAGATCGTGCTTAATTTATCAGTACAATTTATCCCCTCGGCGAAACTCTAACGCCTAACGTGCTCGGTCGCGCCATATTTCACCGACAAATGTTTGCCGCTGTCTGGTGGCAAACAGAGTTCCATGGAAGCTCTTCATTGAGAGCTTTGCATGCCTGCGACCGTTTCCTTTCCTTCCAAAATATTCGAAGATAAGCATTAGACTTGATAACGTTCACGAAACCGTGGTCTCTACTCAAGGATATCATATCGGAGAAGTGGGCCGTCCTATCGCCAGCTTGGTGACTCTAGCGTAGGATATCGAGGCTTTACTACTAAAGGAGTTCGCATTTACAGCGTATAGCTTCACTGCTTTTATTAAAACGAAACGCTCTTGGCTATCGTATCGTGGCGAATATCATCCGAGAAAGCAAAAGCTTTTTGTTTGGTCATTTATGTTGTAAGACTTGAACGAAACGTTTTAATACTCCGTTTCAATTTTTTTATTTGAAGTCGATCTCCAATTGTCGCACTTATAATCATTACTGCGATGATGATTACCGATCTAATTCAGCGATGAAAGTACTTAAAACCTCTTATAATCTCAGTACTTCTCAAATTCCAATGGAATATTTAAGTAATTGATGTTTATTGTTTTTTTTACATTTAATTTATAAAAAGCGATGATAAATTGAGACTTTAAACATTTTCTCTTGGTCTTTCATGAGGGCCAAAAACAGGTGAAGTGCAAGTAAAATAATGGTACTCGTGAGCTCCAAACAAGACTCTTCAAAGTTTTTTGCGAATCCAGCGCTGCTATCCCAGCCTCTTTACTCCTGTGTTAAACCCAACGTTCGATTAAACTTGTATAAGTTTAGGGCCCGGTCTAGTATCATGGACTTGCATAAACTTAAGCTTATTATGCGATTTATCTGAAAGACCGGGAAGCTCAAAAGATGTTATGTTCTGTCCAGCCGTTGCAGGACCGGATTGTATGCTTAATTTAGCTTCCTGTGGTAGCTTTCCGGACCCGCTTCCTCGCGGCCGTTTGCCCACCACGGTTTTAAAATTTCATTGCAGTGTCCTGAGATTTGGTGTGATGGGATGCCGAACAAAATAGATTTTTTGTTACTCGTTTCTGCCGCTACGCCTTTTGCCTCAGCCAAGGCAAAGCTTTCTTGTGTGGAAAACTTAATGGCAGGAAAATTTGTTTTGTTTTTAGTTGCAAATGTTTAGTAGATGCAATATTTATTTACCCAAATAATCTTGTATTAGAATAATAGTGCGGTCAAGTAGGTGGATCAAAAAATATCAAAATCTATTATAACCAATTTAATGTGTCTTTCTCTACGTTATGTTATTACGATGTTACTTGTCACTAATATTTGAATAAGAGGCACTACAATGCCCATTCGTGCCGTATAATCTGTTTCGTCCTCAATCATCCCCTATATTATTTTTGTGCCCAATCGCTCCCTATCATCTTTTTCGGGTTCAGACGCACTTAACATAACATAACATAACATAGTGATGTCGGCGCTGCAGTGTAGGCCTGATGTGGCCTGTCGCCGATTCTTTTTCTTTTCGTGCCTTGTTCACAGAAGATCTAATATCGTTTCATTTGACCGGATATTTTCATGACTTTTTATGTTGGTGACGTCAAATTTTAAATATTCCCGTCAGTATGGTGATCAAAGT